GGTGCTTGGAAACGCTATTTTGTACTCATTTATTGACGAGTCGGTTGCGGTACGGCCAACTGAATGCACTGCGTCTACAGAATAGACGCTGAGAGAGGCGATACTGCGCCGAGAAAGTCAGACCACGAACTCACGGGGCAGTACTGGAGAAATCTTCCAACTGAACAATAGCTAAGGTTTATCCAAAAAAGTCACTAGGTTTGTCAGTATGTACCTTTTATGGAAAAAAGTTGCTAAAAGGGTCTGAAAGTTGCTAAATATAGTGCTAAAGTCGCATTTGTGTGTGTGAGACACGGGAGCTGATGGCAGGGGGCGGTGGATATTTGTGGTGGTTAATGTGGATATTGTGGTGGGCCACCACAAATAAATAAATGTATGGGAAACACTGGTTGAATCCAGTTTGCCACGTTGGATGACGAGCCGACGACACGCACATCAGTTTCACGATTACCACCCCCCTTTCTCTCTCTCTCTCTCTCAAAAAAAATAAAAAATAAGGATTTACACAGTTTACATGGGTCATCCAACCAAGGTCAGAAAATACGGAAATTCGTGAAGCGGAATTCGAATTTTTTCTAATAAAAGGTAAAGCTTATGTATGGGAAACACTGCTGAGGATTAGAAAAGTGAAATTGTGAATGTTAAATTCACTAAATGTGAAATTATAGTAGAGCAGTGTATGACTCGTGTAGGTGGAAATCACTGCCTCGAACTACAGAGTCCCGTTGACACTGTATGTATTGTGTATCTGTCACTGTACTTATTCCTCTAAATTTGTCCATGTGACCAACAAAACTCTTTTTGCAGACTTCATTGTGCTTCAGTTAATGTGTCTTTGCCAGTTATTTACTGCTCCTTTGCCTTTTGGGACTGGTGTAGTTGTACGACAATCAGACGGAGGTATTGATTGAAGTGGGATAAATCAGCTTTGTCAATGAACTCCGAGTCCGACTGCAAACTAGTGTGAGATTAAATCAGCTTTATTCACTATGGCAGCTTTAAGTACTTGTATTAATGGCTTTAAATGTATGATGATGTTGCCTGGTGCCTGTTATTTTACTTAATGGCCATTAAAGGAATCACAGGGACAGTTTCACTTTACAGCACCTCTCGCTTACTCGGCCATGATGATTATTTATGAGAGTCCATTATTAACATCTGCTAAAAATAATCCTTTGGCCAGGGGAGGCTGCAGGCCATTGGATGGAGGCCATGACGATGCCTGTTCGCTCACATTAGCCACTGCCCATTGCCTTGCAAGCAGTCGTCTTGGGTGGACCCATCACTCCCCAGATTTGATGGGTGGAGGACGCTCATTGTGCAATCCTGCAGTTTGGCAGCTGTTACCTGGAGCTGCGTTGTGACGATACGGATTGTTTGAACACGGAAAGAGAAGCTAGCTTTAGACAGCTTTGTTTTGAAGACTTCTTGTGTTGTCTCTCCCACTTTGACGCCCATTTATTTGTGTTTTTGCATCTGCGAGGGGGCTGATGAATTTGTGGTTGACTGTGTCTCCTCAATCACTGAACCATTGCATTTGTTGCAGTCTGAATGGGTGCGTTTATGTTCAGGCATTTACACAATTATGCTTAATCAAGACACAATGCAATAAAATAGTTTGTCTGTCCATAGTGAATGTGAAATTGCTGCACTACACCATTCTATCACTGTCAGTCAGAGATTATGTAAGATTATGAAGAGCAGGAATTTTTAATGTATTATTTAGTTGTTGTTTTTTATTGTTACAGACAAAACATACCGATGATACACATAAGCACCCTCCAGACGGAATATATTTAAATATTAGTAAAAGATAACACAAGTGAACACAACATGCAGAAGGGGGCCAACACTTTTTCACACCACTGTATATGTATGTATGTATGTGTGTGTGTGTGTGTGTGTGTGTGTGTGTGTATATATGCTTCTGTATATATTCTGAAATTCTCCTGACTTTGAACAAGTTAAATTAATATATTTTCCATAATTTTTATAACTAATGTATATTCATTTATCTTAATACGTTTAGAGGAGCAGGATTTTGGACCAGTAAGATGGTACAGTGGGTGGGGCTAACCACAGTTTTGAACTAATCATTTTTGTTAATATTTTGATTTGGATATTTTTATATTTTCTGTTTTCAAATTTATTTGAATAGCACTTTTCACAGTATGTCAAAGCAACTTTACAGAAAGTCACACTGTTATGTCTATGTACCTTATATGTTTTAGTGTTTAGCACATGTATCTGTGGTACAGTGACTCGGGCGCATGGCTGTGCATTCAAGGCAATTAAGACACTTAAATGTTGATCTTTATTGTTCAATTAAGAGATTTAAATGTTTTGTTGTAAACGAGTCAGCAATTTTCAAAAAGTATTAATGAAAATATGATCAGTTGTCACTGGTGAAAAGTCGGTTCTCAAGCACATTTCTTAGTGCTCAAAAGTTTTTAATGGATGTAAATAATCCTCAATTTTGTTCTAAGCAAGAGTAAACAATTCTCAAGAAGTATCAACGAAGATACGATCACTTGTCTTAAGTGAAAAATGACTCTTTGCAGTCGACTCCCAGCATCAGGGAAAAAATATTATCAGTTTAAGCAGCACTAAATATGAATCATTGCTGTTAAGGCTTCTTCGGGATGTATATTAGTTTAGATTAGAGGAATACTGCCTGAACAGTTCATGTACCTGTGTGGAGTCGATTCCTTTGAGTGGAATCCAATTCTCGATACTCAGTGCCTCTGAAATGAAGAATACATTTTGGATCAACTCACAGCCATAGGAAAAAGGTTATAAATGGTTTAACTCAAAAATCAGCATGCAGTTTACTTATTGCCTTGGTTTGCTTTGCATGTACATTGTGTCAGCTTATTCTGTGAATTAAAATATAATTTCAGGATCTCATAAACAGATTTTTTGCATTATTATTATTATTATTATTATTATTATTATTATGTAAACCTTTGGGTTTTTCTCATAAGCTGATGCTTGATAGTCTTTGACTGTGCACTGCATGCAAGCACTCAGTCTGTGTGAAGATCTAGAACGTTGTAGTCGTGGTGGCTGTTCTGCATGCGTGTGTGTGTGTATGTGCTGTCTGCGCACAAGCGTAGTCGTATGATCATGCATTGGATTGCCTTGCACTACTTCTGATCTTTCCTCTCTGATAAACACACTGAAATGCACATACACACACATAGAAAACTTCTTTCTTCTGCCCCAGTTCTGTCACGCTGCCTGTGAAGTTCCTGCGCATCGATGGAGGAAAAGGAAAAAAAACTCTTCTGATGGTGTCAACTGGCCCCATTTTTTAGCGTTTAGTACAGCGCCTATGAAACCTGCACCCACCCTCCCCCACTTTATACGGCACATGACTGGCGTTTCATTTGAACTGAGAATCCCTGCTACATTTTAATTAATCAAAAAGCACAATGCTTATCTTATCAGCTGATCGTTTTCATTTTGATTACGGGCTGGCGGGTGGGAAGACTGATCCTCAGGAGGAATGGGCCCCTAACTGCAGGCTGATGCTTATCGGTCTGTTTGCAGCGACAGGAGAGACCAGCTGCCTTCAAGCAGTGCCGGCCCTCAGGTTAAGGGCTTAAGACACCAGCAACTTCCCGAATCCCTCCTGTGGTTCTTCTTATCTCTATCAAATGCAATCTTGCTTAGATAAAAGGCATTTGTTTAGGGCCTTTATTTATCAAAGCCTGCCACACTCTGTGATGGACTCTGAGGTGGAAAATATTCTGTAATTCACAAAAACAAAGAAATGGGCATGACAGCCGTGCACTTGTTTGTATGTGTTAACTCGAGGAATGTAAACTAGACTTTTACACCATCTGAGTGCATCTTGTCTGTGCAAAACTTACTGAAATTGAATGCATACTGAATCATTTGTGTTGTTGCTAGGCCGTTGCTATGGTGTTTGGTGGTTGCTAAATTGTCCAACCAAGTCTTTGTGATCTTTCTGATGCCATGAACCCCCAAATATGATGGTTCCCTTGCAGGAGTCCTAAAATATAAAAACAGAATATTTTATATAAAAAATATTCTACATCAAGAAAGAAGTATAAAAACCCAATCAGTATGTGTAAAATATTATATATTAACATACATACAACGTGTGTGTGTGTTTGTGTGTGTGTGTGTGTGAGTGTGAGTGTGAGTGTGAGTGTGTGTGTGTGTGTGTTTGTGTGTGTGTTTATATATAGAGAGAGCAAGTTTAAATTATTATATAATAAATTAAATTCCATTCTTGAAGTATAAACACTTATTTAAACTGTGAAAAAAATGATAATCATACATGCGTATAAGATGTTTACACAATTTGAAATTTGTGTATACTTTTTTTCTGTTATTACATTAAGTGAAAATGTAAAATATAGTATATAATAAATATATGTAATATATAGAGAGAGTTTATATTATGTTTATATTATATTTAATTTAATATATTTTTATGACAATATAAGTTTAAAAACCCATTTAAACTGTGAAAAAAAGAGAAATATGTGTAAGATGTGTTTATACAAATATGTCAAATTTGTGTGTGTACACGTTTTTATGATATTTGCTGCCTGGTTTCTATGAGGCAATTAAATAATTCCTGCAGCAAGGTAGATCATCAGAAACCCAAAACCCTCAGAGTACAACCAATCTTTCTGTCAGACTTCCTCAATATCAGTGAAAATTTTCAAATCTAGTCGTTCTCACTGAGAGAAACACTTTCACATACACAAAGGTATTCACAATTGTAAACTCCTACCTCTTCTCCAAGCCCACTGTTTCAGAGCAATAACACAATAATGGAAACCATTTTCCCTGTAACAGTTTCTGGAAAGACATTTATTTCACTTTAACCTCCATGTGTTAGAGATGTTCTCGGTAATGGTGCTGGTCTGCCAGCCTGCAACGTACAGTATACGTCCTATTTCACCACCTACTGTACAACTGAAGTGTGAAATTCACTCTCCTACTCTTCTCTTTTTCCATAGGGAGTTCGGTTGGCGAGATCCTGAGTTACCTGAAGTCATTCAGATGTTGCAGCACCAGTTTCCCTCAGTTCAGTCCAACGCAGCGGCATATTTGCAACACCTATGCTTTGGAGACAACAAAATTAAAGCTGAGGTAAATCTAATTTTATATCACTGATCAAAGCACTAGCCATTAACGATCATGTACCTGCTTACCAAGGCACATTTGTAGGTGATACAAAGCAAAATATGTTTAGAAAGATTTTTTTTTTGTGACTGTGTAGAAGGTAGTTAGTCTTGAAAGTGGGATCTGAATGCTGGATTTTTCCATATCTTCTGGCACCAATTTTGTATTACCTTGGGAAAACTTTTGCTGTGGAATACCTACCGAAAGATTTTTATTGATACGTGTTGTTGCGTGAAATTAATTCTTGTACATACCGTTGACAAATAATTCACCCCTTTATTGAAATTTGATCCCAGGTCTCTGATGGTAGATCTCCCAGCAGTAAGTTTTCACAATTATGAAGAGTGCCTTGGATTGCACCAGTAATTATGCACTAATAGCACAGCCAAACAGTACATGGAAAGCTGCATATTGACAGCCGTTCTCAACACAGCAGCTCTATGATTGTATCCCAGAGGCTTAAGAGAAGCTTGCAGGACAAGGAAATTAAATTTGGAGAATAAATCTGCGGGAGCAAAACAGCAACAGAGGGAGAGACGAGCTAGCCGACAAACTTTTAAATGATATTTAATGAAGAAGAAAAAAACGTGAGAGCCAAATTAGTTTATCCAGCAATGAGCTCCACTTCAAACCAGCATTTTTCTCCATCTGAAAAATGTCTTTATTTATTAAGAAAAGACACTAAATTAATCCCCCTGCTTTCTTTGATCTGCCTGTTCATCAGTTTCACCACACACTGAAATCAACTTGTTTCATGTTGTTCTCATAAAATATTTGGAGTAATGTTCTATCATAGCTTGATTGATTAGATTTGGGCCTATATATTCAGCTGCTCTATTGTGTGCTATTTTTTTCTTGTAAATAAACAAAAAATTGGCATATCATTTTCATCTGTGGTTCTCAACTGTTTTTTGTTCTCTCTATTAACAACTGGTTATAAAGTGCATTTAGAAAAGCAACATGTGCCAAACCATCTTCTCAAATTTATAATTAGTCATTTATAAATCTGTTGCCAACAAAAGGCAAGCTTTAAGATCTTCCTGCAGTTTTCCAACCAAATAAAAGCTTTATGGTTTAATGTTTGAAATCAAAGAAATTAAGATAATAATAATTGTATTATTTTATATTTTGTTGTTGTTGTTAAATGCAATTTTTTTTATTTTACAGTACAATAATATTATTTGCAATCCTTATATTTCTTTATAGATTTCATTTCATAATTTAAATAGTGATACATTAAAAATAATATTTTAAACAACAACAATAATTATTATTATTATTACTTTATATTCGTATTGAATGGGGAAGACCTGAAGAAGTCCTGATGAACACCCAACCTGCCCGTATTGACATCTGCCTTATTTAGTTAGCTTCTGCAGTTATGAATTTGCACCAAAATAATTTAGATTTTGATTGGATACACATCCATTAACTAAACTATAATGTTGACAATGAACTAAGATGTTTCTCATTGCTTTGAAAAGTATGTGATTCTATTTATTTTGCATTTTACAATGTATTTAGCATTATTCTTCCCTCCAGTTCATGGCCCAATCAGAACAGACCTGCAGCCCACTTTTAGGTTGTGACTGTTTCATCCCACTGTCATCATATCTGAGGTCTCTAAAAAGGTCGAATTCAGGGTTTATGGACTTAACACATCCAGTACATTCTGCAACTCATTGTATTATGCAGCAAGCCCGTGTTGGTGCAGTGTCTTCTACATTATTTTCTAAATCATTATATCCTGAGGTTTTCTACCATGTCTTCAATGTTTCTGCAGCCTCATTCTCAGTTAGGTGCAGTTTACCAGCTGCAGTAAATGTCCAAACCCAATCATCATTTCTTTTAATTCTGTCTGGAGTGGGACTGAACCTCCGATGTTAGTTTATCCATCTGAAATGACATATCAAGGACTGCAGAAAGAGTGCAACAGATGAATTATGGGAGATATCATTGAAGGTATCTAAATGATACATGTTGTGGTGGTACCGGACCAGTAGTGTGTGTGTGTAGTTTACCAGCTGCAGTAAATGTCCAAACCCAATCATCATTTCTTTTAATTCTGTCTGGAGTGGGACTGAACCTCCGATGTTAGTTTATCCATCTGAAATGACATATCAAGGACTGCAGAAAGAGTGCAACAGATGAATTATGGGAGATGTTATTGAAGGTATCTATATAATACATATTGTGGTGGTACCGGACCCGTAGTGTGTGTGTGTTGTTGCTTGGTAAAGCAGTACAGTTAATTATATGTGACAGTACTGCAGCAGATGGTGCCGTAGGCCTGAACAAGTTATTTCATCCCTGCCATTCTTTTTCCTCAACATACATATCTGTAAATGCTTTCACATTATGGAGTGGATAGTGAAAAATGACAGCAGTCAACATCACAATGGTTTCAGGCCTGGTAATGTCTTTTTTCTCTCTTTTCCCCCACTGTTTTTGCATAATATACCAGTCAAACTACAACGAGTGATTTATTTGAGGGTTTTTAGTGTACCAAAACCATGCAGCATGACTAGTCCAACCAATTCTGAACAAATGTCTTTTATGAAATGGCTCTTTTTACCAACTCAAACACATGCTTACAATGTTATATTGTACGTAAAGGAATACTTCATCCAGAAATGAAAATTCTGTCATCATTTACTCACCCTCATATTCCAGAACACAAAATAAGGTATTATGAAGAATGTTGGAAACAAACAGTTTACCATTGACATTAGCTATGTTTCCATCACCCTGTTTTTGTGCACATTATGAAGTATCGCATCAGAAACAAGTGATGGAAATGGCGAATTTAGAAAAAAAAATGGTGGTTTTTGACTTGGCGAAAAAGGGTTAATGCGAATAATGGGAGATGGAAATGCATTTTGCGAATAAATTCATCCATGCGCATCAAAAAAGTCATGTGACTTTGCGCTATGGGAAGGCATAACCTGACTAACCAGTGGACCAATCTCGTTGCACAGCATTTGAAATGTTGTTATGGTCATTCTTAAATGCCCGAGTCTGTAGTCAGATTATTTCTGTATAATTGCCTCCTAAACTGTCTTACACAACTGCGTTCCAAAACAGCAGGCATCCGCCTCTGAAAGCAATTTATTGTGTTTCGTCTGCTCGCTCTGAGGTGCAAACAGTTTATTATATATGAAATTATGATGTTCAGTTGCTTCTACTTTTCTTAGTGATATTTAGTGGCAGTTTATCAGGAAGTGACAATTTTGTTCTCTTTGACTCGTTGGATGGAAACGGTGCTTATTCGCAAATGTTTTATGCGATATTCCAATTTTGAACATAAGTTAAATTCGCAACTTTGGATGGAAAAACAGCTATTGATGTTGAGCATGAAAAGAGACATTCAGAAACAAAATATCTTTTATGTTCTGCAGATGAAATACAGTCGTACAGGTTTAGAACAAAATGAGGGTAAGTAAATTGACAGAATTTTTTTGTAAATTGACAGTATATATTTTTGAATCACCAAAAAAGTACCTGCTCACAAGAATCATTTGTTTGATCATTTGATTTGCTAAAAAGAATCAAAGAATCATTCAGGAATCCGTGGAATGGACTTGTTGCACTGTATTGTTTTGATTCACTAAAAAGAGCCGGCTCAAACAAATCATTTGTTTGATAATCCTTTGGACTGTTCCCATTGTATGTTTTGATTCACTAAAAAGAACCGACTCTTAAGAATCATTTATTCGGGAATAAGTTGGACTGGTCGCATTGTATGGTTTTAATTCACTGAAAATAACTCACTGGTTTGATGATCATTTAGACCGACCAGTTGCATGGTTTTGATTCACTAAAATGAACCTGCTCATACAAGTCATTTGTGCATGAATTGGACTACTCTTGTCGTTGTATGTTTCGCTTTGCTGATTGAGTAGCAGTGTTTTTAAAATAGTGCATAAAATACTGTCAGAGTATTTTATTGCAGTATCCTGTCCACGCCCAACTGAATTGGTCATCCGAACGTCATTTTCTCGAAATACATTACGGAAGTCAAACGGGTTGTGAATGCAGTTTCATATTGACATTTTTAAAGATAGATGTAAAGGAACTTTAGCCAGACAGGAGCTAGCGCACACACTGAAGCAGACTCGGAAGGGAAAGGAGAATGGCTATCCGATGACAGAGCAGTTTCTCCCGCAGCAGAGGTGGGGAGAATACTGATTAGCCCAGCATTTCAGCCAGAAAGGCCGAGCTCTGATGTTTATAGTCTTCCTGCTGAACTACTGGCCAAGTGCAAAGGCAGCTCTTTCTCGTCCTCAGCTGGCCACTATTTATAGCAGGTGGCTCCAGCAAAGCTCCCCAGGTCCATGTCTTGTGCAGGCCGCCTCTGGCTAAAGTTCAGCTTTATCAGCCCTTTTGGAGGGAAAATGTAATCCGTCAATATCCATCTGCATGTGCACTCTAGTGTCAAGAGCAAGCACTTCCGTCCTGTCTGCTCATGCCACTAATTGAATATCTCAGCATCTCCACTGCTTCAGGACGATGTTAAAACTCAGTGAATTACTTAGCTACTCAGAGTTCACAAAAAAGGAGTTCACTTCTCAAACAAAGTGGCCACCATTGGTTCACCAGCACTGCTTTTGCACATCTTCTCGATGTCTTCCTGCTTTTATCCTCTGTTGTTTGTCGCTTCCAAACATCTGTTGCTTCCAAACATGCTGCGATCACGATCATTTATTGTGCTTCCTCTATATAATGTTTTGTGTACTGGGGCTGCATTCTCAAAAGTGCGAATCTCACCACATGAATGAAACAAAGGCTTTTGTGTGGTGATGCACATGTCTGTCTGCCTCTCGGGATGAGCCGTGCCTTTGTTTTCCTGTCAGGTGTGGTTTGAATATGCATGCTGTACATGCAGTACAACCCGAAAACAGGAAGAAACAGGATGAGAAGTATCCTCATGGAATGGACTGTTAGATCACTTCTCACCTTCAGACAAAGCCACACAAAGAAACATGTTTGTAATCTCCATTGGAGTGAGTGGCGATGTGAAGCCAGAGCGCTGATCTGTAGTGATGTACTATTCAGAAGCACATCTGCCAGGGCTGCTCCTACACTCATCTTAAGCTAATGCAGCAGGGTATTGTGTATGCCAGTTGGCAGCGGGACAGGAAATTGGAAATTCATAGTGCAATCACTTGATGAATCTGCAGATAGACACAGGTGTGACTCTCTCTTAATAACTTAGCCCTGCTGGTTTTATGTCAATTCGTTCAAAACATTTTTGGCTTGCTGTGTGTATTAGTCTGTAAGGGCTCAAACTACAATGAACTAAGCCGCCAAATAATAACCAAGGAAGATATTGTGATTTTTATTGACAATGAAATAAAAATGTCTTATTCTTTATTCGCTCTTATGTTATTCCAAACCTGTATGATGTTAATTTGGGCTACTTTTATAGTGCGTTTTTTACTTTTTGGAGCTTGGCAGTAAAATTCACCATCCACTTTCATTGTATGGAAGACAGTGTTTTTTATATAGTATTATAGTATGAATTTATATTTAAAATTAGCTTTTACAACATTAACATTTCTAATTTTCTTTTACTTTTCAGCTATTGTTTATTTAATTTTTATTTATTTTCAGCCTTATTTTAGTTCATAAAAACGCTTTCTAATAGTTTTAGTTTTAGTTAACAATTACAAAACTGATGGAAAACAGTGGCTCAGACATTCTGCCACATATGATAAAAGGTCATACGGTTTTAGAATGACATGAAGATTGGAAAATAATGGCAACATGTTCATTTGTGAGGGAACTATTCCTGAAAAGATTATAAAATGGCACCGGATATCAAAATGAGAAGGCTGAGGGTGAGTTGATGTCAATCTGTGTTGTTTTTCCATAGCATTCAGTAACTTTCATGGCTTTTTGTAGTGTGGTCTCAGAACCTCTAATGAACTTGGCTGGCTTTAATTGACTGTAGTGTAGAACAGCAAAGCTCTGTTTATAGAGATTTACTCACACCTCTCAGTCTGTCTGAAGAGTGATTCATTTTCCGGCTCCCTTGAGTATTGATTTTTCAAATACACTGGTTATGGATTCAGTACCTCCTATTTGTTCATTTATCCTCCAGATGATCTCATGGGCTGACACTAAGCTATTTTGGTGTGACTTAATACTGAATTCAGACTCTTTTTTTCCTTTATATGAGGCAGCACTGCTGAATGTCAGAAAGGATAGGTCAACATTTCGAATGTCTTCCCATGAGTTGAGCCAAGGCCACCATGTTCTTACTGATCAATAATTCTTGATTAGATCGATTGAAGTTGCATTCAAATCAGGAGTTGAAGTTCAAAATATGAATATGAATTAATTTTCCCCTTTCAGCTCACTGGTGTCACCAGGCTGACACCAAAGGGGGTGGTATATATATATATATATATTCTTCATTATTATATGAGTTTTCCTTCACTATGTATTTATTTATTTGTTTGTTTGTTATACATTTATTTATTTGAACATTGTTCTTGTCATGTTACACTAAAACTGACTTGAAAACTTTTTACCGGGTCATTTTGCTACTTTTTAGATGCTTTTTATGTAGATTTTATTGTTTTACCCGTGTTCCGAACCCAGACTTTAAGTTTTGAAATATGAAAATACACATCACCCATCACCCTCTATCTCTCTGTTTCTCTCAGATACGGAGGCAGGGTGGTATTCAGTTGTTGGTGGACCTGTTGGATCACAGAATGGCTGAAGTACACAGAAGCGCCTGTGGTGCCCTGAGGAACCTTGTTTACGGCAAAGCCAATGATGATAATAAAATCGCTCTGAAAAACTGTGGTGGCATTCCTGCGCTGGTCCGCCTGCTGCGTAAGACCTCTGATGTGGAAGTCAGAGAATTGGTCACAGGTAAGAACTTCTGCTGGCTTTGATACGCCTCTTTTTTCAGTTTGAGTTTTATTATAGGAATTTTCTCTGTCACAGTGTTTCATGTCTGTGTCAGATCAGTCATCGATTCTCTATATATTTATGCTGTAGTAATTAATTACCAGTTTCAGACTCTTTTAAAAAAAATGATGAGTAATGGGGATCTTCGCACCTAAACCAGTGCAGTCACACAGTTAAGTTCAAATGGGTTTTGATGTTAGCAGGAGTGACATTTTCTTTTAATTATAAGTGCAGAGACCCCAAATTTGCTTGTCTAATGATCTGTTTCAAAGTGAAAACTCCTCTGAAATTCTTGCTTGTGGATGTATTAATTATTTTCTTTTATTATTTATAGAGCAATGGACAGTGGAGGGATGTTTGAATATTAGATGACTTAATTTCTTTAGTACTTTAATATTTCCAGACTGTCCTGACTTGTGTTGTCAAAAGTACCGATGTCAGTACCAGTCGGTAGCTCCGGTACCAGATGAGGTTTTGTTCAACTCACACCAGGAACATTTCAGAAGTGAAGCAACAGGATTCGCAAGACCACGTGATTTGCCTGTCCGACGTTGTTTGTCTTGATTATTTGTGTTCTAACATGGCTAAGTTGGCTAAATGTTTATGTTTTGTCCAGTTTAATTCTGTTTCACATAACATTTCTGGCCTCCTGGCAAGGATATAGTGATGTGAAATACAATTGGGAGTCTGCACAGGGTGTTTATTTTGAAACTGACAGGATTTGTTGACTTTTATTTTGTATTTACTGTGCGGCTTGGACGTGGCGTCCGTCATAAATAGGCCAGGAAACGTGCCTTTGCGCAGCTGGTGTAAACACAAGCAGTGAATAGAGTGGCCAAGATCAGCTCCGGTGGCCGCGTCGGAGCCGTAACGCGCCGCAGACGCTTGCAGTGTAAATAAGGGGGTAAACACCTCTGATTGGCCATTGTGTTCACGCGCTCAACAGATATGTCTGTGATGCATTTTATTTTATTTTATTTTTTGCTGTGAAATCTGCTATGCCCAATTCAGGATGTGTACTACAACTTTTCATCCTTTAATTTAGCAATGCTATAGAAAAATCTGCTTTGTTTGTTTTTTTTCCCCTTCATCTTTTAGGGATGAGGTACAGAAAGAGATATTTTCAGCAAAATAAATCACCTGTCCCCAAAAAAAACCCAAAGGCTTTGCATTCCCAAACATGTTTCTAAATTGTTTCTGTAACGGAATGGATAGACTTTGGAACGAAGCCACGCCTGCTATGCGCTGAATTCAGATTAACATATAAATTAAAAGCATTGCACACAGGGCACTTAGAGACAGAGACTTCCTGTCACAAATTAATCAGCAAGCTGGAAGCCTCAAGGTCTTTGGCTGCCCAGAGGATTCTCAGCCTCTCAATCTCAAGCAAAGCAGCACATCTGAGTCATGTTTTGCCTGCCTATTTGACTGCAGACATGTGCTGTTTTTTGACATACAGAAAGTAGATGTAGCCATATGGACCCAGTCGGACCTGATGGTCAGGTGTCCTGTCAGCCTGCTGCCAGCGTCTGCTTCGCTTCAAAGGCGAGTGAGGTTTATGAAAAGCTTTTCCCAGAATGGGAACGCCGAGGGTGGAAGAAAGAGAGACTGGACAATTCTTTCCATCTTGGAATATGTACAGAGACAGGTTGAAATCCAGTGCATTCAGTACTCCTATCTTATCTATCACTGGCACTGCCTTTCAGTGGCTAACTTCATATCTCTCGGACAGGCAACAGTTCATTAGCATTAATCTCGCTCTGTCACTGTTTCCCATGGTGTACCTCAAGGATCTGTTCTTGGTCCACTTCTGTTTCTAATGTTCAGATCATTCTAATGTTCAGATCATTCAGCTTCATGGTCTTAACTTTAATAGTTAAGCTGATGATACACAAATCAATCTTACTGTCCTTACTGTCCTCAAACACAACAAGCCTTACACCACATTTTGACATATAGTTTTCCTAAAGGAAGTGCTTAGAGGTTCTACAGAGCCCATGCAAAAGATAAATAGACGAGTGTTTGGCTTTGTGAGCACGAGCATGTGAGCATGTTCTTTTATGAATCACATGACTGTGGAGAACAGATGGAATATTGGTCTACAGGAACAGGAAACTTGCAAGAAACCCAGACAACAGAACATCCCCTGAGAAACTGTCTGAATCCTTTGGCAGCAAGAGGTTTTTGAATTGCAATATGTAGTGTGGTCGTATGCTGAAATTTGGGAGGTTTCTTGCTTAGTTAGCCTAATTCCACTTAGCGTCTGGTTTTTGTCTCTTGCTGCAGTGCTCTAGCATACAACCCGGCCCCAAATAGTGCACTTGATGTAGAATTAGAGTCTCGTGGCCTTTTTTTCTACCCAGTTGCATACATTTAGACTTTAATGTTCATGAAAGCATCTATTTTGATCAAAATACAAAAAAACAGTAATATTCTGAAATATTAAATTTTTAATTTTATATGTTTTAATATATATGATAAAATGTAATTATTTCTGTGATAGCAAAGCTATATTTTCAGTAGTCAGTACTCCAGTCTTCAGTGTCACATATCAGAAATCATTCTAATATGATGATTTGGTTCCTAGAGACATTTCTTATTATTCTTATCAACGTTGAAAACAGCTGTGCTGCTTAATATTTATATGAAAACCATGATACATTTTTTTTTTTTGGTAAATAGAAAGTTCAAACAAACAGCACTTATTTGAATTATACATCTTTGGTAAGATTATAAATGTCTTCATTGTCAATTTAATGCTTCTTTGCTACATAAAAGTATTCATTTCTGTCAAAAAACAAATCTTACTGAACCCAAACCTTAACAGCATCTGGGATGATGGTTAGACAGTAATTGAAAAACTTAGTAGTCCTTTGTTAGAGAATAGAGCTCAGAGAGTTGTAACCAATGCCCTTAAATGATTGGATTGGAATCTGTCTTAAAGGGTTCAATCATTGCTGTAGTCTATAGATGTCCATTATTGTTGGTGATAGATGACGATCTTAATCCTAAAATAGGAAGAAACCGTTAAATATTTAATATCTGCTGATACAATAAATTGAAAAATTGGCAGAATACATCAATGACCAATGTAGTGCCGATGCGTTGTGCATCTCTACTTAGGGTTTGGGGTTTGTTCAAAACCCTAACCTTATGTTTGAGCAAATAACTAAGTGATGTTTTAGCTATAACGTTAGTTTTTCCACTAATTTATTAAAACACTGTAAATTAATGACTTTTCATTACAATGGAAAAATTCAACTGTTTATATCTGTCTCAGTCGTGCAGTCAGGTGAAGATGTCTGTGGGATTTTTGCTCATACAGTGAGAGACCCTGGTGAAATGAAGCAGGTTCCCAAGTCTAAATCTAGGCCTGTGTTCTACTGGCATGAGATTTGATCTTGGTCAAAGTCACCACTGACGACAATTAGGTCCTTGTAGTGCTCTAGCGTTGAGCCTTCCTCTCTTTCTCTTTCTTTCTCTCTCTCGTCCCCTCATGAGAAGTGGTCTATGACTAGATACTCTCTCAGTTCAGCAATCAAGGTTGTTCTTCCTTTTTCAGAATGCATGCTTTTTTCAAAGACTTCAGAAAGTGAAAGTCAAGAAGAAAATGAGCCACGAAAGACTACTAGAAGTAGAGTGACGGCAATAAGAAGCACACACCTATATACACAAATATATATTAAAGGTGCAGTTGAGAAAACTTTAAAAGTACTACAATACCAGGAAGGAAGATCGGGCTGTTGATGTCTGTCTGCCATCCTCGCTCTGTCTGCACAGCGTGCGTGAACGCGCTGATGACGTATCCTGTCTGCGCAAACCGGGTGCGCAGAGGTATGCAGATACATACATTGACAGGCAGGTGGGAAAGCCAATTAAAACACTCGGACCGAGTGTTTTGATTGGACGAACATTTCTTGGTCCTACGCCTTCCACAGAATATATAAATACAGATAAATTCATTTAGACCATTTAACTTAATGTGATTGCTATCGGGATGTGAAGAGACTTTCAACCAGCATAACAAAAAATGTTTCTGAAGACAATCACCTATTGCACCTTTAAGATGCACTTTATTTTTAATTATAAGAGTTGATGCGGCCATTTGTAATTTGAATGTGCGAGGTTTTCGGGATCATCCATTTCCAGTTATTTTTAGATGTACAAAACAACTTGTTATTCTACTTGATATTGCAAATTAGTAGTTCTTATATTATTTTAATGTATTTTTGTAATTATAAACACATGGTTTGTAGCACAAATAGTTTTACGGTTTACAGCACTTTGTTATTCCTCTGCTTATTTACATATAGTGGCTAATAAATAAAAATCTCCCACATTCAAAGAAAGTTGCTTACTTCCACATTGAAAGGTGGATGGAATTTTAAGACGGATAACTGATTATCTGAAGTTTGTTGTGGCTGATATGATCATTTTAACTTTTTTTGCACTTTAACCCTTTTAACTGAAACAGTTTGAATAAAATAAAAAAACTACTGTGTTTACACAAAACTTATTCTTACTAGATGCTGATTGAATGTCAAAAAATGTACTGCTTAGAGTGCAAAAATTTTTATCATTTTCAATATTATATTGGAAGTAATAATTATTTTAATTAAAGGTTATCTCTCAATTAGCAATCATTATAAATAAGTATTAGCAATCTACTGAATTTCTATTACAGTATAAAACCTCATATATTTAACATACACAACTGTTCAAAAGTTTGGGTCAGTAAGATTTAGCCAGTAGGGTTTATTTTATTTATTTATTTATTTTAAAGAAATTAATGCAAAGATGCATTAAATTGATCAAAGGTGATAGTTAAATAGTTATAATGTTACAAAAGATATATATTTGATATATGATGTTCTTTTGAACTTTCTCACTTTCATCAAAGAATCCTGAGAAAATCAAAACCATATCACAGTTTCCAGGAAAATATTAAACAGCACAACTGT